ACAGTATTTCCCAGGCAAATAAATTTGAGGATTTTCATGGTTAAAGATTGGGAATAAAAGATCAACAAACAGATACTTAGTAACAATTTAAAACGAAGAGCTTGGAACAGCTCTCTGAACGACCAGCAATTAGCAAAACTACTTCACGACGAGATTAAAAATAATAACAAAATGAGAATTTTTACGCAAAACCATTTTTTGAAAAAATCAATTTTGGTTTTTAGTGTCACTCTAACATAAATGTCCGTAGATACATGCAATTTTCACTGAATATTTGTGTAAGCATTTTCTATAGACCATACAGTTTTAAAAATATTTTGATTTGTGTTGAACTATTTATAAGCAAATGAACTTTTCAATTATTATTTGTTTTTTTTTAAACTCAAGTTGATAAAAAAAATTTTGAGCAGTCAAAAAACTTGAAAATGTAATACAAGGTTCCTTGTAAGTAGTTGTTAATGGAAATTTAAAAAAAAAGTGAGTGTAATTCCACAATAATTTTTCATGAGCGTTTAAACTTAGAATTTTTGATAAAATTCGTAAAAATCACGAAAATTAGCACATAATATTAAGTTATAAATTCATAAAAAAATTTCTATTTATATCTAAGATTTAAAAATGTAATACAAGATTCCTTACAAGTGTGTCTGGCTTTATCGAAAAAAAAGTTCTTCTGAAATGTCAAATTACATTTTTATGAGAGTTTGAGGTTGAAATTTTTACAACATTAGATAGATTTTACATAATATTATTATTATTACATTTTACATTTTAGTCTAACAGACTAGTCACGACTCTTCTCCCGTTTCGGCGAAGGCGGCTTGGCGCAATTGGTTGCAACGGAGTCAATAGCTACTCTTTCAAAGATCATCACGATCAGTGATCATAGCATATGTTAATATTATATGTATTATATTATATGGTATAGACAGTGACTAGAGTTAACCTAAAGTGCTAACCTTAGATTAGTGGTTTTCAACCGGTGTGTCACCTTCACATTAAACAGGTAACTGGGTAAGACCGAAAGGGTAACTCTAAAAACAATCTACTTTAACATAAACCATGTGGACCTGATATTCTTCCCAAAAATAATTTACCATACTCGAGCCCTAACGAAATCTTAGATTTAATCACTAATACTAATTAAAAATATCTGCCGGAACCTAACCATCGGTGGACCACTTCAGTGAAGACTCGGCTTCCTATCCAATTGGACCGGATGGCCATTTAAACACGGATTTTACCCAGGAAGGCAGTGCCCACCGCCAAACCATAATCAATCCAACGTGGGTATCACTACCTACTAATATCGAGGTTTAGTTAAAGAAAACCAATCAATTGTGAGCAGTGTTGAGCTCAGATAAATAGTTTTTCATCTAGATAAAGATAAAGATAATAGACCTAAAATCTATCTAGATAAAGATAAAAATAAGCACAACTAAAATTATCTATTTATTAGATAAAAGATAAACAGAATTTATCTAGATAAAAAGCCGATAAATTTTTAAAAAACAACAATATTTTAAAATTCAAATTGTATCAGATAAAAAATATGCAAAGGCTGCATGCAAACTACACGCTCCAACATGTTCCGCGTGGAGCAGCATATGTTGGACACATAATAATATATTCTGTACATAATCAAAAGACTTATTTTCATCGAAATAATTATTTAATAGTTATTCATAATTTATAGGAAGTTTGGACTTTCCACGTTTCGACCTACCGTCATTTCATTTTAATTTAATTACCCACATCTGTCAACATTTGGAATTTCGTAGTACGAACGCGACTGTAGAATATACACTATACTGACTATTGACTATAATGGGTAATGACTAAACAGTAATAACTAATAAGTAATAATAATATTAATAGACATTGTTATCGTCCGATCGTCGTTGTCATCGTACGGCGACATCACGAACGGAAATAATGAATATTATCAGAAACATAATTAATATAATAATATTAAAATAAATTAAAATAATTTCTACAACATAAAATATCTAGATAAATAACAGTAGATGACTGGAGTTTTCATCTAAGATAGATAAATAGATAACATTTCGATTTTTATCTAGATAAGATAATAGATTATTTATTTATTTACCTAGATAAGTATTAAGTTTATCTAGATAAGTCTCAACACTGATTGTGAGTTACTGAACGTTGTAAATAATATTACTCGTTCATTTCTTGTTACACACTTACATGTTATTTGAATTGACAGTTACATAAGTGATATTAAGTTAAATAGAAAAGAAAATATTGAATATCAGGAACATTATAAAATATTTCAATAAAGATAAATGTTTTGTCAACCTATTCTAGTTACAAGTATAACTACAATATTAGGTAGTGATAATGCGTCTCCTACAATAACTTCATTCAAACGGCGAAAGTCGACAAAGGCACAATACTTAACGTTCCCTTTTACATCAGGATTTTTCTGAACGACTAAGAGTTTAGCTTTCCAAGGTGACTCACTTGGCACAATTGCTATTTCCTTTTCGAGAGTCTCCATCTGTTCCGTGATTTCTCGACGATTTAACAGTGGTAAACTGTATGGCTTCTCTTGACTGGGTGTCATGAACTTTTACGCTCTAATTTCGTGAACAACTGCTGCCGTTGCTGTGATTTTGTCGGCTTCTAGAAAAAATACATCAGATACTCTATACAGATTGTTTCAAACGATTTTTTTTTTCAGAATTTAGATGATTTGTACGTAACGCTTTCTCTAATTGCCGTATTCTCATAGCATCCACATGGTTTTTCTCTTGAATGCTGGACTTCATTTCATTGTTTGTACGTCTACACAACTAAATAATTAAAACACGCAGTGAGGTGGTTAACAACTATACTTTATTTGAACACTATGTTAATACCAAAAATACACGGATTTGTAGAGGTTCTGTTAGACTGACTGACAACGACTGACTCGCCTTGGGGCCGAGCGACTCAAAATTGCCCACGTATCGGAATTCCATACACATCGGCCGTACTTGTTCCCAAGGCAAATACATGGTTACATATATATGTCAACAAAATGCTTATATTACAAATACTTATATTACTTATATTACTTAATGAAATGGGTTTATAACACCCCACGGCTTAAACGAGAAATGGAAGCTAAGAAGTCACCATTTTTCTACTATGTTTTACACAAAGAAAAAAAAACTACAGGTCTAGGCGGTGCGAGACTTTGCAATTTCTTGTACATCATGAGGTTCAGCGATTTTCGATGAATATAATTTTGGTATACTACATCAATACTTAATAACCAAGTACAAACTTATAATAACTAATGTATCAAATGATATTCCGGTTTAACAAAAATATTTTCTGTGGTATTCTTGAACAATTCGTTGAGTTTGTTTAACTCTTAGAATTCCCGAGATAATTTGTTAAAATTTATATAAAGCGTATGATTACTGATTTTCTGAGGTTAATGATGTTCTGTTATTTTCTTAAGAGATAATGGTTAGTTTAGACTTGGACTTTCGGGTACGAAATCTTTATGATTTCTTGTTTTGATGTTTCTGATTGGTGTGAGTATTGAATGGTCTGTATAGATCACGCAATATTCTAGAATGTATATTTTACCTACTCCAGTAAGGGTTATTTTATACGGGACTTGACGACATGCTACTGTTATCTATCACCTGATGAGTACAATAATATAGCCACGAATTTTGATACTGAAGCTTATGCCTTAAAGTGGTGTTTAAACTCAAATACCTCAGGTTACATGTGTCTAATTGTCTAGATTGTTGTACAAAGATACCTCACAATTTTCTTCCTTAATGCGTTTAAATATTGATTCTAGTCCTGTACATAATTTAAATGAACAGTGACTTACATTTATAATATTGAAGTTCTGTAAGGCTAAAATGGTATTCGTTATCTAAACTCACTGCTAAATATATTGGATCTGGATTAATTAGAATTATATTGCCGTTCGGAATAGTTATTGGCAAGGGGACGTTATGATGGAGATTAAATGGTATGTTTGACAATAACGGTATCCTTGCTACAAACATGAGTGTCTATTGCAGATACACTACACTTAAAGTAGATGCTCTAAAGAGCTCTAGAAGATCTAAGTGTGATTCTACTGCAGGTAGTTCCAGCGTTGGGGGTAATGTGAGTTGAATTTCCTTCATTTCATGATATAGTTCTGAAGGTGGATAAACACTAGTGTGCATCAACCCATTTAGAGCAAAATTAACTATTCTTTGGAGGTCCTGAGTTTTCCACCCAATCTGATTTAACAGGATGACTAATATAGTAGTATGCCCATCGAATAGATTTTAAGTGTTTAAAATATCAATTGCGTTTAGAATGCGTGTGGATTGTTCTGAAAGTTTTTGGATATTTATTTGGGTTTTCAACAAATCTGCTACTAAATCGTGAAGTGAGAAGTTCTCTTCTTGTACAACTGATGATACTATACGTAATTGCTCTTGTGCCAGATGTAATGATTTTTGGTTGGATTCTTTTAGATTTTGGATTTTTGAATTGAAGAATTCAGCGTCTTCATCAGAATAAACGCCAAAAAGGACGTTTGTTAGCCTACCACCTGCGTTAATTAGACTTCGAGTTCTTCTAGACAGATTTTCTGAAGTTTTCCTACTGGGTGCTAAAATTTTCATCACAGAGTTATAATTTAATTCAATTTCATGGGCAATATGGTAGATGTTTTGTAAGAATATGATACATGCATTATTAAGAGTTTCTTCTTCCTGGTTTTTAAGGATTTTGCATATGTCGCTAGTAAATTAGAAGTAATCCTCGAAGTTATGAAATTTAATATCGTAAATGGAGAGGTTGACATATGTCACAAAGTCTCAGTTTAAGTAAGAAATTCGGATTGGACTTATTGATTCTAAGTAAAGACCCGTAGTATTTCTTAGTGACGCTACGTGTACATGCTTGTCTATGGTTTCTGATCTTCGGACTATGGTTATGGTTAACACCCTGAAACATACTAGGTGTCACTCGTGGAATAATCTTAACAAGTTCCTGTGTAATCGCGTCTGCTCATTACGTTTGGGAATAGTGACGTTGGGAGAATTCGTATGGACTGGTATAACAAGATGGTATCCGTAAACTACTTTTTGAGGCTGGTAACCCATGGATGAATGTACTGACGAGTTGTGGAAATACATGGCATAAAGGATATAAGTGTTCCAATTCTTCGGGTTTTTATTAAAGTAGTTTCTTAAATATTCGCCTAGAGTTCTGTGACCACATTCTAAACTTCCATTGATCTGCGGATAGTATGGTGTAGTAGATGTCTGTGAGATTTTGAAGAGTTTACAAACTTCTTTGAAAACTTTGCTGAGGAATTCTGTTCCGTAGTCTGTAACTAGTGATTGCGGTTGCCCATGCAGGCATATGAATTGCCTTACAAAATGTTGTGACATAGTGTTGGCTTCATGGTCCTTCACTTCTTCATAGGTGGAGCCCATGCGAACTTAGAGAAATCATCTAACATAGTCAAGGTATATGAATCCCCACTATAAGATTGAAGTAATGGTCAAACTATATCCATGAAAACCTTTTCAAAAGGTTTTGATAACGTGGTCGTAATAACCATTGGTTCCCTGATAGTATAATTGGGTGTCTTATTTATTCGGCAAGTCGGAAATTTTCGGATGTACTGCCTTGTCATTGGTACTGTTGCGGTATTTTGTTGTAAGTACGGGTGTTTCCTTGATGTCCTCCAAGAGGATTCTCATGAAACTCTTTGACGATCTGCTCTTTGTTGTCTTCGGTTAACTCGTCCTTGGTGTATACTTGAATATATGAATATACTATGAATCTCATAATCTTTCATACCGTTTCCCACTTAAGTCTATCTAAGCCGAAGCCGTAGCCTAAACGAGGACACCCAAGTTTGATAACTTGGAGTTCTTTGCAACATACTTTGAGATTCTGAAGACTTTTAAACAGATTTTTTTACGATGGTCTTTGCTAATGGAATTTTTTAGTCAAAAAATAGAAGATATACCGGTTTCCTTCCCGTATTGAAGCGATCTCCGTGACTAAATGTTTTTGGAGTCGAAGTTCGTCAATTCGTCCATATTTGCGACTGCATTCTAATACTATCCCCTTATTCTTTTCCTAACAACTGACACACAATGTGCTAACGAAGTTATTAACTGCGTTTCGACTATGTCTCCTATCATTCGGCATTGGTCCTAGCTGTGCTGTTTCGGCTTTCAGGAATTCTGGATAGGTATCTGAAGACTCTATTTCTTCTAGATGTGTTTGATTTTCTTGATAATCTGGAGGTTCTTGGTGTTCACGAAAGTCTGATGGTTCTTAAGTTTCTGGCAAGTCTGATGATTCCTGAGTTTCTGGTAAGTTTGATGACCTGGTATGTTCCCTAGTAGAAATAACGTATAAACGGCTTAGTGTATCTGTGTTTGTGTTATTTACTCCGGGTTTGAAATGAATAGTATACTGGTACTCTTCTAACTTCAAACACCATCGAGTTAAACGTGATCCCGGATCTGTATTGTTGAATAGCCAAACTAATGCACGATGGTCTGTTATTACGTTAAGGTGTTGTCCAAATAGGTACGGCTTAAATACTTTTATTCCCCATACAATACTAGTCAGTTTCTTTTCCGTAGTATTGTAATTGATTTCAGCCTTGTTTAGTGTTCGTAATGTGAAAGCTATCGGCAAAGCCTTTCCAACAGGTCATCGAGACAGAATACAGCGTATGGCGTAGTTGCTTACCTCACACGTTAGATTGAATGGCTTTTGGAAATCTGGATACTGTAGATCGGAGCTTGAGTGAGGAGGTTCTTCGATGTTTCAAACGATGTCTGAAAAAAATCGATCCACCTATAGAAAACGTCCTTCTTGAGTAACGTCATTAATGGTTTAGAAAATTGTCCATAGTTGTGTATAAATTGTCTGTAATAGCCTGATAGTCCAAGGAAACACTTTACTTTCTTGACATTCTTATTAACTGGAAAAGACTGAACACATTCAATTTTTGAGGATCTGGTTTACCCTTTCATCGGTTAATCTGTGACCTAGGTAAGTGACCTCTTTCTTAAGAAATTCGCACTTGAGTGGTTGTATTTTCAAATTATACTAACGATGTCTGGTAAAGATTTCTGAGAATTTCTGAGAATGATCTTTAAGATCTTTTGCATAGATTATGATTGATTATGATAGATGCCAAATGGCATCCTTAAAAACTCAAAATGACCATTTTCCGTGTAAAAAGCCTTTTTCTCTCAGTCTGGTGGATTCATTGGTACCTGATGATATCCATGAGCTAAATACAGTGTGGCGTAGTATTTGGACTTACCTAGCTGATGATTTAGACATAATAGGTGATTCGCTTTCAGACACAGCCAACGCAGCCAGAGTGTTAGAAGAAGCAGCGAAAAGAATAGGTCTTGAAATTAACACTGAGAAAACAAAGATAATGGAACTAATTGAGAGTGGGGAGGACCCTAATGAGTTGGAAAATTTACCCTATGAAAAAGTTATCTATTTCAAATATTTGGGAGCCACATTAAGTACAAAGAATGACTGGTCAAAGGAAATAAGTATTCGAATAAACAAAGCTCAGAGAACGTTCTATGCACTGACAAAATTTTTCACGTCCAAAATGTTATCAAGGAAAACGAAAACAAGACTATACTCAGCCATTATAAGACTGACGCTTACGTATGGTTGCGAAGCTTGGACGACAACTAAACAAACAGAGAGAAAACTGAGGACTTTTGAACACAGAATATGGAGGAAAATATGTGGACCTGTCTTTGACGAAGCAACGGGGAATTGGCGAAGGAGGTACAATAGAGAGCTGTACGATATGTTGGAACTAACAACAGTAACAAGTGTTAAGAACAACTGAATACTATTAGTTATATTATTCTATAGTTCTTGTAGTATAAATGTAATAATATTGTAAACTGATACGTGTGTGACACAGGCGAGTAGGACTCCCTTCTCCATACGACTGGTCTAAGGAATCTGCTGAATAAACCCTTTTTGAACGGGCGACCAGCTCGTATGCGGGGCTCGCACACGTAGTAGTCAGTGTTGGTGTTACAACAGACCATTACAGACCATTTTTCAGAGTATTTTATTATAATTAAACGTCATTACAATTAAATAAAGAATATTATTTTGAGCCAAAGTAATTTAAACTCGTTTTATTTTATTTGTGTGGAATCGCTAAGTGGTGCGTCCATAACACAAGCTTCATTAAAAGCCAATGAATACAATGGTTAGGGCACATAATGAGAAGACGAGATAAGGAAGTAGTTAGAGTGACATTGGGATGGAAGCCAATAGGTAAAAGGCCAAGAGGTAGACCGAGAAAAAGATGGATAGACGTGGTAGAAGAAGATTTAAAAATCTTTGGAGTTGAGAATTGGAGGGAGGCAGTTCAAGATAGAGACAGGTGGCGAAGTGTAGTAATGGCGGCAAAAACTCTTAGAGAGTAGAAATGCCAGTAGAAGAAGAAGAAGCTGATCCAATATGTCGACGATGTTGGAAGCGGAAATGCATCTCCTACAGTGACTTCATTTAAGCGACGAGCGACGAAAGTCAACACAAACCCAATATTTTATTTTTCTGTTTATGTCCGGTTTCTTTGGGTTGACCAATAGGGGCGCATTCCATGGCAATTCACTTTGTGCTATTAGGCCCTCACGTTTAAGATCCTAAATTTAATCTGTGATTTCTTGACGATGCCGTTGGGGTAACCGATATGGTTTCACATGAATGGGGGGGGGGGGGTTATCGTCGTTGGAGTTCATATTTCGTGAGCTGCGGCTGAAGTTGCTATGACCTTGTCTCCTTCCAAGAAGAATACGTATTCGTGACACACTTCTTCTAATGAAGCTTTTTCTTCCGAATTCAAATGTTGCGTGCGAACGGCTTAATTAAACAAGGAGATTCGGTTTCCGTAAATCTGAGGTTCTGATGGCTGTTGGAGCTGCACTGTGCGCACCAATGCTTCGTGATATAGTTCATATTCGAGATTTTTGAGACTTGAAACTTGTAATCTAACAGCTTTCGTTGGATTGATGAGTATTACCATGGCATCTTTGTTCTGGATCCTAGTGACTACGTTCTACAAATGATTGAGTCAGCTAATTCTTGTAACGTTATTACTACTTTTTCACCTTCTAACTGATCTTTAGCTCTGACTTTGACCAGGGTTTCTGTACGTGTCTTAAGAACTATGTCTGATTTCTCAGGAATGGTTACCTTGTTCGTTGCATAGTTGATGCCTTGATGGTGATCCGATTTGATACCAATAACGACCGTCCAAGAATACCATCATGTGATATTGGAAAATCGGAATATACCACTTGAAAATCGGTGACGATTATATTTTCTCCTAATTGAACATCTAGATAGGTGAGTCCAATTGTAGACACCATTGAGTCATTGATTCCTTTAAGATAGAATATTGTCTCTTCAAACACGATGGTCTGATTCTTTAATGATGACTATGAGGTTCAGTTCACTCCCTGAGACCAGGAGTAACATTGAGGTTCCGCGAATAGTCTAAGAGATATGGCATGTTACATGGTCTCGTTCTAATTCTGACTGAAAGTAGTGGATTTGGTTGGAACGGCTATTCACCAACCGGCCGTCCACCGCTGACCGCCAGTTGTTGCAAGTTTTCTTGATTCTCAGTTTCTTTGAATTTACATACTGTCGCTTTCTACATTCTATAAGCTTGTTCCCAGGCTTCTTATAATAATTGCATATTTTCATTGTTCTACTACCACTTTCAGATGGTCCGTTTTTCGAAGATTTCTGATCTTTAGAAACACGACAGTCCTTAGCTACATGTCCAATTTTTCTACAGTTAAAGCATGTTAACTTGACTTTTGGGGAAGTGCTTGCCTTCGAGGCTCCAGTGAAGAGTTTCTTTGATTCAGTGTTAGATTTTCTGTTTCTTTCTTCTTCTCTGGTGGCTTGTATAGCCTTTTCCAGAGTTAAAGGATTATGGGCTTATTGATTAATTATCCACACCCCTGATGGTCTGGTCTACGTTCTTAAAAAGATTCTCTGTGTCCTTTAGTTGAGCACAAAAGAAATTAGATGATAGGTCTCACAAAGGTTTTTCAGAGTTTGACAAATCTGGATTAGCCAATCTTAGGGGCAAACTAGTGAGTGGAACAGAATTTGAGTGTTCAGTTGGATGTTGAAAATGTTGAACCGTTGTCTCTACTAGATTTTCGGTACAATCACCTAACTTAGGTGTAGGAGTTCGAGATTTTGAAAGGTGACCCTGGCAACCTATACAACAAACCATGAACGAAATTTAAATCGCTTAAATGTAATTAAATACTTCGACTATTACTAAACCTTTTAAGACTAATTAAATACTAGCGTTACAGATATTCGTACATATTGGTACAAACCAAAAAAAATTATTTTTATTACTTACGCGACTGGTACTGAAATCACTTGC